TATCCCTAAACCTACCCATTACCAGTACATAACTATCCCTAAACCTAACCCATCCTCAGTTCACACCTGGGTCCTAACCCTAACCTCTAACCCACCAACGACACTTCTTGTTATGGGGCGAGGGCTTTGGGCCCCACAAGGAGCAGCTGGTCCTCACAATGTAGTACGTGTTGTCAAATCACAAAAATGGTAGAAAGCATAAAATACAATTATTTAAAACCATTCTATATAAAATATACTCTGTAAAAACTGAATTCTCCATACTTTTTTAAACTTTATTTCAAATGTTTTTCATTTCAACAAATTCAACACTTGCTCTTCTCAAGGGCGGACGTGTCCTCCTCTCCCTCGCCTCTTTGCTTTTGCTCTGTCCTGTTTGTGAAACTGCTTTAGAGCCTCTCTTCTACAAATCTTACGAATCATAACTATGGACTTGGATTTGGTCAGTTGGTCCCTCAGCACAACTGATAACATTTCTTTGAAGAGAAGACAGGCTTTAGGCAAACTGATTTGCCCTGTTGGCACGCACACAGCTGGATATCTGGATATCGACTTTGAAGACGATGATGTGTCTACGTCAGCTGTCATCTGTGGATTTTAAGAACACATTATAATTGGATTGATGATAACTGGTTCCTGCTTTTAGGATTCGGCTGGTTCCTGGTCTATCAACAAACAAGGAAGTCAGAATGGATCAGATCTCGGGGATTATTCTCAGCCACGTTCCATTGGTATGGTCATTTAATTTGGACGTTTTGGAACCGAGTGGACCGACACAGACTCAAGGTAGATGTCATTAAAGTTCTGCCTGTCCCCAAATCAATCGTGTTTTTCTGAATTCGGCTCCATGACTGGCCTTGACAGGCCGACTTATCTCAACCCGCCTGGAGGCTTTCTAAACATGATGCTCAGACCCTCCCTCCCCTCCTACTGCGGAATTTCCATGGACTTTTCAGAGGAGCCCAGCTGAATAAACATTCTGTCATCATTTCAGGTCTCTGGATTCGTCTTTGGTCGTCCTCGACACCCCCCCCCCGAGTGTTCACGGATCTCTTCAGAGAGAACTTTATGAACTAAGTGATTTTATCTGAACTGTGTGCAGTGCCTCTGCGTGTTGTCTCTGGCTGCTCACCGACCTTGTGTCCCACCCCGCGTAATGTCGGCGTCATTATGTGCCAATGTGCAAGATTTTTTTTCATTATCACACTTTGACCTTCAAATAGAGGTCAAAAGCGCACTAGGATTTTTTTTTTTGTCTCCAAAACCTATGTGTCATTTTTCTCCACTTTTTATTGTCTGTCCAAACAGGTCTCACTTGTAAATGAGTCTTCGAGGCTCAATGTGACTTGTCTGTTTAAATAAATTTTTGTCAGAGTCAGAGTTTCTTTATTGTCATTCGCACCTCATGTGGTACATGTGGTGGAGCGAAATTATGTACACGGGGTCCCAGTTACATCCAACAATAAAATGTATAAGAAAAACAGTAATAACATCTAAGATATGAACTAAGAAAAACATCAACTAAATATACACTAAGCACTCATAAAATAAAACATTGAACATCAGCACAAACATGAACATGAACGTCAAACATTCATTTTTGTAGTTTTTCTATAGTCCCTTACTGTTCAAGCTGCAGGATTGTGCATTAAATTCCAGCAAAAAGTGTGAAACCATTAAAAAAAAAATCTATTGAGTGTAAAGTACAAAGTACTTTTTAGATTAGAACAAGTAATAATTTGACAAACCTTTCCTCAGTGAACACGAGTAACTTTTCAGTTCAACCTGAGTGTCAACAAGAGCAGATACTTCACACTCGCCATACACCTGAAACATCCAAACATGTGGTAAGAACAGACAACCAAATAATCAAACATATTTACATTTAGGTTTCCATACTCATGAAATAATTTAATATTTAGTTTTTATCTTTATTTTTCCTTACACTATTTTAGATGCAAATACAGGATTTTTGTGTGTGATTTTGTATTTTTTTACAGAATCACACACGTATAGTGTACATATGTATATAAACATTTGTAAATATCTGTACATGCATGTATAAATGTATGTGAACAGTATAGGAGCATTCACTGACACTTGCACATTCCTTGTATCTGCATCTGAATTGCATCTTGCACTCTAAACACAGCAAAGTCTAACAAAAAAATCATGTAAATTATGTATTCCTACACTGATGTGGAGAAATGAAAGGAAATATTATTCAGTTTTGCATGGTGCACCGTACAATTTGGAATGACAAAGTTTATAAAGTTAAAAGTTAAGCTCCATAAAGTACAGTTTGACAATAAAACTATGCTTCAGTCATTTATGCTTTGAATCCAGTTTAAAATCACAAATAAATCATGAAAGCTTTAAATGTGTAAACCCAAAAAATTCTGATTGTAGTGCAGAACAATTGGAACAGCTTTGTACTTACAGGAACCTCTGAGACTCCACTGATCTCACATTGTTTCCAGGGCTTCCTGCTGGTGATGTGACATTTGGTCTCCAAAACATCAAAAGTCAGATTATAGAGTGACCCTCTCTCCTGGAGAAAATGTAGATACACACAAGATGGGCTTTAAATTATATTTTTATTAATTATCTTTCTGTTTATTTTTCCTCCAAAACAAAACAGCTGGTCCATCGTTGTGTTTTTTCTGCTAACACTTGTGGAGCAGCACAGACCCCTGACCTGAAGGTTGTTCTACAAACATTTGGTCAATGTTTATTTATTGGACAGATTATTTATTAACCTTTATTTAACCAGGCAAATCCCACTGAGATCACAGATCTCTTTCGCAAGGGCGGCCTGGGCCTGAAGGCAGACTGACATGCATGTTTCTAGCACGCAAGTGCAAGAAGAACATGTAAGCTCCACACAGAAAGATCACGGGTCCAAACGAGGGATGAACCCAGGATCTTCTGACTGTGAGGCAACAGTGCAAACCACTGAGCCGTCGTGCTGCCAAAAGATTCACAGCACAACAGTACGTACAATCAAATCAACTGTACCATTTTTCCCTTTATTACATCTAAACAGGAGTTAAATTTAATTTGAGATTTTCTTAATACAATCTTCCTTGCTAGGATTTGTGTATTTGGATTTCAATTCAATTCAGTTTATTTATATAGCTCCAAATCACAACAAAGTTGTCTCAGGGCACTTTACAGGAACATTCACACACATAAAAGCCACTTAGTAAAGTTCTCCATCCCGTTTACCTGACACCTCATAAGACGCGCCCCGAAACTTTTAATCATGTCTAAAAAAGGTTGAATGAAAGAATGAATCAATCATAGGGCTTCTCACAGTGGGTCTATCCCACTGTATAATTAATGTAATTATAACCTCCCTCAAAGTCTCAGAAGATAATACAGTGGCTTTTTGTTAAAGACAGTGACACCATGACATAAACACCATTTCTTTTAGCAAAATGCAAGTTAGATTATGACACCATGCTGATAAAACAATGTGTTTCTTTGACTTAGAACTTCATCTGGGGGTCAGCTTCCTTTATTTTCATGGCGGTCAGTCTCTGCTGATGAGCCAAAGAGAAGTTCTTTGATGAAAATATATTTTAAAGGGACACAAAGTCTGAACTAATTATCATGAAGCGAACATGTCAGGGTGGTCCAGTTGTGTAGTTTTAACACAAACAGAGAAGAAACTTCATGTGTCAAAACAGAAATGGAGAGGTCGGAGACGCAGTGTCTCTGAGGACATTTGTCTTTGTTAAGGCCCTTGGAAGGATGGACGGTAGAATATATACTTGTATATATGTGTGTGTGTAGGGATTGGTCTGTTTCATGCGTTTAGCCCCATATCGTGTTGTGTTTTTTGTCTGATGTCCTTCTTCTCTGTTTCTGTTTTCTACAGGGTTTGTGTTTTCCTAGTATATGCTTCCATTTAGAGTTGTGTGTCTGTTCATGCACTCCCTGGTTTCCTGGTTGGTCATTTTCCCTGATGTGGTTCAGCTGTGTGTCCTCACAGGTGTTTTGTCTCGTTTGTCACTGTATATAAGTCTGTGTCTTTGTGTTAGTCCTTCGTATTGGCATTGCTTCCTGTCATCCTGGTCCTCTGCGTTTCCTACAGATTATGTAAGTTTGCTGCCCCGTCAGCAGTTGTTTTGTTGTTATTAATACATTATTTTATTCATCTTCTGAGTTGTGGATTGTCTGCCTGCACCCCTGGGTTTACCTCCACCAACCACCATTACGACAGCGTGTGTGTGCGTGTGTGTCCTTGTTTATGCTACTTTGTGAGGCCCATTTTTCCAACTTATACTGCATTGTGAGGACCAACTGCTCCTTATGGGGCCCAAAGCCCGGGCCCCATAAGAAGAAGTCCCGTTGGTGGGTTAGGGGCTAGGTTTAGGACTAAGGTGTGAATTGAGGATGTGTTAGGTTTAGGGTTAGGTATGTACTGGTAATGGTTAGGTTATGGATAAAGGTCATGGTTAGGCTATAGA